AGAACAATATGGTGGGAAGCGGACTTAACTACACAATAAGTAAATGATTATGAAGTCTTAAAGAGTAAAAGATGGAATATATGAATAAAACAAAAATAAACCTATAGGCTTATAAATAGGCTATATAAAGATACGGTAATATATACATATAAATAATAAACATATAAAAATAAAAAAATAAAGCGGTGTTAATAAAGAAAGCACATATCAGCTATCGATATAGAACAGAGTAAAGAGATGGTGAGAATCAATTGTATGGGAAGTTGTAATCACTGAGAAAGTCTATATCTCTATTAAGGCCTATGGTGTGGGTTTTGTGTTTAAGTATGAGTTTGAGTTCGGAAATGCGGCGACCGTTTAGAGATTTAAAGTTGTTGGCTATGAGTGTACATCTCAAATCATTGATGTTATGGTTAGGAGAATTGAAATGTGTGGCTATGCGAAGGTTCTTATGGGTGCGGATAGATGACTTGTGATTATTAAATCTACTTCTAAAAGAAGCTCCAGTTTCACCGATGTAGGTGCCATGATCACATGCATTACACATTATGATGTAAATCACGTTGGTAGAGTCACATGTGAGTTGAGGGGGGTGAATTTTGTGGTTAGTGACTGGGAGTGTGATTGTGCCGTTAGTTATAATATGTGTGCATATTTGACATATATATATATGTATGTATGCGTGTATATGTGTGCGTGTGTGTATATGTATGTATGTGCATGGATGTATACGGATATAGATATATATGATGAGTGTGAAATGTATATGTGAGTGTATTCCATACAAAAAAAAAATAACAAAAAGAGAAAGAAATAAAGGAGAATGAAATTGCCATGAAAGGTAAAGGGTGGATTTAAAAAGAAAATAGTATTATGTATATGTGCAGTGTATATGTATATAAATATGGTTTTTTTTTTAAATGAAAATGACTTGAAGAAATTCTTTAATGTACGATGTTAATAATGTTAATTACATCTTGGTAAACAATATTTAGAAATCATTACAAGTGGAAGGATGTTAAAAAAAAGAAAGATAGTCAGCCATTGTGGACTGACCCCTCCTAAGTGCAAATGTTTTTATTTTGTATATTCATTATCTTTTAAATATGTATTAGAAGCAGAAAAAAAGAAAAGTAACAAAAAGAGAAAGAAATAAAAGTGGGTTAAACTCCTACCAAAGAGAGAAAAAAAAAAAGAATAAATCGAACTTTAAATTTTACATATGAAATCGATTTTACATATGTTTGGAATTCTTAAAAATTGGGTTGAGTGTACACTTTTAATATCTGCTTGGTTTTAAATTAATTTATGTTATATTTAAAGGAAAATAAAAGATCTCTTGAATCTTGAATAATCGAAAGATGATTGTTTGATTAGAAAAACGTATTTTTCTTCGCTAAGATCCATTCTTCTAATCACAAAAAAATACAAGCAGTGTACAGATTTCATGCCAATTTTATATCAAACTAAACTAATGTGTACCTAAATAATTGTATTACTCGTCTAGCTACGGTTGTAGCAGAACACCGAACTATTACAACCAGTATCGGCGAAACTGTTCATCTGGTAATGAGTCTTAATGATATTGATGAGGGTAGCTTACGATGGAAAAAAGATGGAGGATCTGACATCATGGAGTGGGACGGGTTAAGCAACGTGAGTCTTAAAAACCTACGAATAAAAGACACTGGTATCTACGAATGCTACCCGAAAGGACAACGACACTTGGGTCAACACGCTATTCTACGATTACTTGTTAGAGGTAATTTTTTTTTGTTAAAGTCAATTGAAACAAATATTTTTAATAATGTAATGGTATTATGTAAGTATGTTCATCTGTTACTGTTAGCGCTCTATCATTTAATGTATATTCATTATTTTCGGTATTAGTATATATTTGTTATTGTTATTGTTATCATTATTTTGTTTACCCTCTAGTATGTGAAGCTAAAAAGAACAGTATGACCACCAAAACAATATAGGTTGCATGTTCTCATTCAGTAACTTTCTTTGCATAATGTAAGAAATGCAGTAATATTTACAAAACATTAGAGTTGAGTTTAGGTACAGGTTTGACAGCAGTTTCATAATTCTTCATAACATAAAAATATTTATATATCACTAAAATCAGATTAAACAGCATTAAGCTTTAAGTCATGGGAAGCTAAAGGAAAGTTTTACTGTAAGTCATTAAAAACCGAAAGCCGACTGTGCTTGACGAAAATAGAATGTGTTAACCGATTGCGTGGACGCCGATTGTGATTGAAAATCAACTGTGTTTGAAATTCGCCGTTTTGTTGTTTCAGTACGTACAATTAATATTGCTCTTTTTGCGTTCCATATAAAACCACAAAACAATTACCGTATTAATTTATTCGCATAAACGCCCCGCTTTGAATAAACGCCCCTTTGGAGCCTTATTTGGAACGAGTGCTTCCCTCGAATAAACGCCCTGGAGGGTTCATTTCTTCTTTGCGGAAAAGTATTCTAGATAGATAGATAGATAGATAGATAGATAGATAGATAGATAGATAGATAGATAGATAGATAGATAGATAGATAGATAGATAGATAGATAGATAGATAGATAGATAGATAGATAGATAGATAGATAGATAGATAGATAGATAGATAGATAGATAGATAGATAGATAGATAGATAGATAGATAGATAGATAGATAGATAGATAGATAGACAGACAGACAGATAGATAGATAGATAGATAGATAGATAGATAGATAGATAGATAGATAGATAGATAGATAGATAGATAGATAGATAGATAGATAGATAGATAGATAGATAGATAGATAGATAGATTAATTAATACAAATTCATTAAAAATGTATAATGTAAAACAACATAGAAAAAACAAAACATTAAATCATACTAAAGTAAATTATGAAGTAAAAACAATATGAAAATTACTGCAGTTGTAATAGTAAGGATGAAGGGTGAAGAATGCAACCATTAAGCTAAAGAACCCGTTACTGCGAAGGTAAGTGTATTTTTTAATTTTGACTACCTTGTGTAATGTAGGCTTAAATATGATGAACAAAACGGAAGTAAGAGACTAGTATACGTGTAAAAATACAGTAGAAACCACTAGAAAAGGAAGCAGGGGTCAAACTGACCGATCAACATGCGCTCCATTTATACATGCATGTGCATACACAAAGACCAAATTGGATTAACAGTGATAAGAGAATAGGAGCTACTGTTCACTGGGAGCTACCTAATACCATAGAGAAAATAGAACCTTTGTGCTAATACCAGAGAACACTGTTCCCTGCGCAATACAAATGTTTATTCCTTAACTTAGTTTATTCTAAAACAATGAAAATGCCAGTTGCTTTCTGTTGTCATGGTGGAGCAGAATCGTATGAAACAGACTGTATTAAACAATCCCCATGCATAGAAACAACCTCCGTGTACGGAATCTGACCGTACGGCAACACAGAGTGTCTATATACTCGAGCTTACTCATGCGGAACGAGCACCGGTCAAACTCACCTAGTACAATCCACAATGGCTTATTTATTATATGTTATATCAACCAACAATATTATATGTAATTAGTGATTTATACTAATATATTCTGGTTAATGAACTGTACATATGACTAATGTCTACTTTCAACGTTTTAAAAACGTTTTAGAAATAAGCAATATCAACAAGGTAATCTGTGAAATGTGGCCGAGCGGTGAAGATGCACGTTTTGTGTGTAAAGATAATCGAACGTACGGGGTTCAAATCTCACTCTTGTTTTTTTTTTTTTTTTTATTATTTTGTTATTAATGTTATTTGTGCATATATATATATATAAAACCTTCAAAAAATATGAAGGATAAGATGCACAAATAATAATAAAAAGATAATAATAATAATAATAATAATAATAATAATAATAATAAATAATAAAAAATAATAACAATAAATAATAAAAAATGGGTGGGTGTGTGTGGGTGTGTGTGTGTGACATTATAGCGTTTTGCTTGATTTTTTCTGTGCAGCATATCTCAAAAAGGGCTTAAAAGACATAATTCAATCTGATTATATTTTGAAACAACTTTGATATGTGTTTCTAGTAGTTTTTGTATAGGGATACAATATTACTAACTACACGTGTACAGGCCTACTTGCAGAGCTATAGATATCATGTGAATTGTATCCGAGTGATAAAGATGTACGTGTTATGTGTAAAGTAAATCGAACTCAATCTCAGTTTTTTCTTCTTTTTTTAAAACTAATTTCTTTAAAATTGTTATTTATTTGAAATGTTTAAAGTATTAGATTAACAATTGTCTGTAGCAGGATTCGAACGTGCAGCCTCTCGCTAGCAAGGCGCTAACAGGGCAAGTATCATTCGATTAGACCATACAAACCCAGTACATTCGCAAATGTAACCCGGAGGCACTCTCTTTCATACAACTGACTTATACGCTCACACATAGAGTTTCTTACTAGTTCAATTCCCATCGCTGCCTCTCCTTGTATTTCAGCTGGAAGGCTGAAATACAAGTTATAATAGCGCACCGTCTTTCGGATGAGACGTTTAAGCCGTTGGTCCCGTGTGCATTGATTGCCCATGTGCACGTTAAAGAACGCAGTACACTCTTCGGAAAGGAGTAGG